TTGCCCTCTCTTCACCCCGCCATGCTCTCTCCCCTTAACCTGCTTGATTTTCTAAGTAGTATATACATATATATATGGCCATAGAGTATATATGTACATACTCTGTGGCCTTGGGGGCTTGTGTAGTTCAATGATTTCGTTTGTCCTTGCATGAAAACCAGGGCTTGGCTCATAGCAGGGACTCAATAAATAGATTTTCAATAAATAAATAAGCCCATTTGGACTCAGGCAGTCAATGTAGACTGACAGATACAGGTCCTACCCCAATCTTTACTGCAGAGGCAGTGAATATGTGCTAGAGACAACCAAACCCTTAAGGGTACCCCTCAAATAGTCTTTTTTTTTTTTTTTTAAGAAATCATCTCCATAATTTTTCACCCAGATGTCTAAAGGCAATGGTTACAGGGATTCCCAGACCAGGTATAGAAGGCCTTTGGAAAGCAAAGATAGAAAAGGCAGATGGTCCCCAAGAGCATTTACAGGGATTGTGAGTTGCAATCTGAGCTATCTTATGAGCTCAGGGGTCAAGTTTGGGGCATCAACTTTTATTATCTTGAATTCCAGTACCCTTACAGTGTTTATTGTCCATTAATCCATATGCTGCTCTATATTTTGGCTCTAATGACTTGTGAGCATGTGTGCATGTATGTCTTGTCTCTTCAACTAAATAAATTATCTAGTATTAACCAGATTAGCAAATATTTTGAAATCAGTTATACTAGTATTCAAATCCCAGCTCTGCCATCCACTATCAATTTCAGAGAATTTGACCTCTGGAACTAGACTGAGTTGGGATAGAATCCTGGCTCTTCCTTTTAGTGGCTAGATGACCTCGAGCAAGTTATACAATACTTGTCATCTTCAGTTTCTCCATTTATAAAATGGAGCTAATCATATTGACTCATAAAACAGATGAGATTTTAAAAAGGAATCTAAGTATATACTTTATAAAGAAATTGTCAACAATTAGATCTTAGTGATGTTAGCTTCCTGCCAGTAACTACCTAATAACCTTGACTCTCCTTCCATTTAACTCATTACTGATGGGTTAAGTAATAACTATGGCATGATGAAAAGGAGAACTGGGAATCAGAAGAAATGGATTCAAGTCTGCACTCTGCCTCATATTAGCAACCTGGCTCAGACAAACCGCTTGAGGGTTCTATGAATAAGTCATGTGTCCTTGGACAATTCAATTAATATCTTTGAACTTAAGTTGTAAAGTACACTTGTGTCTCTTCATCATTATATTTGAAAATCCACTCAAGACTAGGTTCAGTGTCTTTTTAACTTATAGCCAAGTATTTAAACACACAAAAGCACAAAAGATGATGCGACATTTAAAGAATGTTTCTCTAATGAAGGCGTGAACTGGTTCTAAAACACAGGCTGTCTTTATGCATAAATTCATGTTGTATGGGAGAAGGGGCAATAGGCCTTAAATCATATGCATGATAATTAGAATAGGGAATATTAATCTAGCCTGGTGACACTAGCAGGGATAATAGAGATCTGCTTCTAAGCAGACATACTCAGGTCAGGTGGTAGCTATCTGCTGGCTAAGAGCGGATTAGGAAGGTATGGTGAATAAAAGGTTAAAAAGTAGTGGTTCCCAAATTTTGCTATATATGCAGATTACCCGCAAGTTCATAAAATTTACAGATCTGTGGCTCCCACATTTTGAGTTCATTGATATGGGCTGTGCCCAGGTCATCACAAGTTTTAAAATCTCCTCCGGCAATTCAACTATATAACAAAGTTTGGCAACTACTAGGTTAAAGTAAAATAAGACTTTCATGACCTCATTCACATTGATACCCATCCCTGATGTGTATTCCCTCTGCTACTGTCCCTAAGTAGAAATCTGAGATAGGAGGACCCAAATGAAGTCTCCCCCCAGCAGGCTTCACATTTCAACACATTCCCCCCTGGAACACAAAGGATAAACCCTCCCAACTCCCCCTCCCAACCTCCCGTCTCCCCTTCTGACCTTCTCTTCCTCTCTGGCTTTGAAGTCTGCCTTTTTCTCTCCAGTCCCACTGCAGTTATCCTAGCAAAGACCCTTGAGCCAAGCTTCCAGGGTTATGATACAAGCCTTTGTTACAGGACTTGTCACCCCAGCGGTGTCTGGGTTCAGAACTGTAGGTTTCAGATTTCTTTTCCTTTGCACCATCTATATTAATCAACTCTTTCTAGGATGTGTATTCTTCCAACTGCTCTACTGGTTCCTGAACTTCACCATCCTAAACTTAGTTCACAGTGTAGGGGGAAATAATTACCAAATGGCATGGAATCTTAGTTTTATATGTACCTACATTGGCTCCTGGGAATTATATCTATAGGTCAAAACCCTACTTACAGAGCCAAATGTAGCACAAATGCCAAGTCTCTTTAAGAAATCTTTACTGATCTCTCTCAATCAGATGTGATTTCTCAATATGAACCCCCATAAAACTTGACTAGTGCAGCTACAGCATAAATTAGCATGAATTCAATTCAAGGGCATTATATTCCAAGAATTCTTGAATTAAATTCCATCCACACGTCTTACTAATTAATTTACTCTGAGTGAATTGCTTAACTTTTCTGAGGCAAAGTTCTTTTACTTACAAAACTTTCTTTGCAGATTAGGATCAGATAGATGTATGTAAACCATCTAGTTGAGGGCCTGAAACATACTAGACATGTGATAAACAATAGCTGTTGTTTCTTATGGGCCAAATCATATTTTGTCTTACAGTATATTTTAAAATTTCATTAAATAAACTTTTAACTAATTTTTAAATTATCTGCAGTATAGATGTATTCAGTTAAGAGGCATTCATCAATAAATTTATTTAATTTAAATAAGAAAATATTTAACAGTGTGACCTTGTTATATTTGAGTCTCATCAGTAACATTCTCCTAGATTGTGGGAAAGGCAGCATATATATGAACTCCACATGACTACCATTCAAAATATACTTTTTTTTTTTTTGAGATAGAGCCTCACTCTGTCGCCCAGGCTGGAGTGCAGTGGTGAGATCTCAGCTCACTACAACCTCCACCTCCCGAGTTCAAGAAATTCTCCTGCCTCAGCCTCCCTCAGCTGGGATTACAAGTGGCCACCACCACACCTGGCTAATTTTTGTATTTTTAGTAGAGACAGGATTTCACCATGTTGGCCAGGCTGGTCTCGAACTCCTGACCTCAGGTGATCTGCCCTCCTCAGCCTCCCAAAGTGCTGGGATTACAGGAGTGAGCAAAATATACTTAAATAATTTAAGGCTATATGCAGTAGGATAATACTTACTCTACATAGATCGCTGCTAGAGGGGAAAGGATAAAACAACAAGTTGGGGTGATGGAAATTAGTTCTCTCTACAGGTAGCTGTCCCTCCACTCTGTTGATATACGAGCTGCCACCAACTCTGTCACTGACAGGAACACAGCCTGGGTTTGCATGGATAAAGAGGAGAACCCAGAAGGAGACATGGGGGTTATGCTCCGTCCTCCCGTAACTTTAACTCAGGGATCACACTTCATACAAGGGCCAGGAAGCTAATAATGCAACAAACTACTTGCTCTTAGACTTTGAAAGTAACTGTGTAATATAACTTTGAAAAAGGGTATGTCTACCTTGATCCATTGACAAAGGACTTCCCCCAGAGTGCTAACAACAGGAAATAAATGAACCAGTGAAAAGTGTTTAAAATTTCAAGAAAAAAAATATTAAAAAAAAAAAAATTCTTACCTGGTAAGGAAACCATGTATGGGAAAGTATTTATGAAATTCAATACTATGGGGCTATATTCTACAGACCTAACAAAAACGAGTGGTTCCAACTAACTTACTTTCTAGTAACAGTTTCTTACTCACTTGTTGCACAATTCCCCATTTCCAGGAAGGTAGCTGACTAAATATCTTTGCTCTGTGGAGAGTGACATTAGAATTTAATGCTAGTCACTGATTTGTTAAGTCCTTGAATTTTTATAAACTGCATAACTTTCTTTGATAAAGGGATTAGACTCTGGGTACAGTACAAGTAACTCAGGTAATACGCATTTGTCGGCACGTCTACAGTATATTTTTCTATTTACCAGACTCAGGTGATATCTAAGAAAAAAGGAATAGGGGGGATGATACTTTAGCTATAATATTTTATTCTAGAAATGTCCACTAAGAAATCAGAATTATCTTCCCAGAATTGGACACATACAAGACATAATCTATCAATGCAACAGGTACCTTAAAGGGTTAAATTGTCATTGGAAATGTAAAAGAATCCTGAAACTATTGGCAAAACTTTTGGTGGAGTATGATGATACTCAAAATACAGTACCTCAGCTGTACTGTAATCTTATTAAATCTAGAAAAATGTGGTGAAAACTAATGAATGAGTCAACTTGCACACATTGGAAGGAAATAAAAATTTAGAATTTAAAAGTTCTTTTCAATTCAGTAGTCACAGAACTATAAAACTTAAAATTGTATCTACGAAGAGGTTGACGGACTTGGATCTATAGAAATACATATTTTAATTTTAAATCTAATATCGTGAATGTAAATATGTGTTGACCGTTAAAAACTTTATTCTTAAAATAACCTTTTAAAAAAATAATAACCTGACTTAATACCGCCAAAAGTACTTATCATATGCCTTAACCGCAGTGAGAAATCCGAGTTAAAGTCTTGGAATGTACAATGAGCCGTGAAGTTGTCTCCCTCTTAACAAGCGGCCTCACTCCTCCAGCAAAGGCCATCTACCAACTTCCTTCGCTTTATTCTAACACTGAGCTGATGGTCTATATATACTCAGGCCTCCAGTTGGGGGAAGCCCTTGGTGGCCAATCGGGGCTTCCCTATCTATTGCGTCACACCTCCCCCCTGCGTGTGACGTCAAAGGTAATCCCAGCCCAGACACGTGGGTTGGAGCAGCCTCGCGTTTCTGGGCAATTGCTCCCGAGACCCAACAGGCAGCAACGGTCCCAAGGGTGAGGAAGTGGGCAGGGAGGGGCTGATGGGGCTTCTACACGTTCCCTCCCGGAGCGCGGCTGCAGCAGCTCGTTCGTCCCAGAGGCGCGCGGTGTCCCTGAATCTAAGTACTCAGCGCAGGCGTTTCGGGGACGGAGGGAGAGGAACTGGGGGAAACTGGCACCTAAGACTGTGTAATAGGACCCGGGTCTTGCAAGCCCTCCTCCCCAGGCACCGCCCCTGTGCTCCCAGCGCCTCTTTGCAGCCTTAATTATCCTTTTAGCGCCGTTCCCCCGCGGCTGCGTTTCCGTGGTCAGAGGAAGAAGGCTTTCTCGCCTCCCGCTTCTCACCCTCATACAGACCCTCCTTTCAGACCCGCCCTCCTGTTCACAGGGACCCATTTCGGAGCCCTGGCTCACGCTGGGCGGGAACTGGCGTGACGAATTCCGCCCAAGGTGTTGATTATCCATCCCAACCCAGCCTCTGGCTTCCCTCCCACCTCCACCCCAGCTCCTGCAGGCCCCTCGCCCCCTTCCTGGGCTGGGCGCTCGAGACGGCGCCCCCAGATCTCCCACCGGGCAGTGTCCCCAGCTGCAACGGAGGAGAGAAGCGCCGGCGTGCGCTGTGCCACGTCGGAATTGGCTCTGGGGACGTTGCAGCTGCCGAAGCGCAGCGCGCGGTCCCCACGCACGCCCTGCCCCCGGGCGGCCGGAGGGTGGCCCGGCGCGGAGAGGAAGGATGCGCGGCCTCCTCCCGCTCCCATCTGCGGGTGCCACTGCCTGCGTCAGGGACCCCTGGCCCGAGTAAAGCTTCCGGAGCCGAGCTGAGCCCAGACTGACGAGCCTGACACTTTAATGGGGTGCGGGAAGTGCAAAGGAGGGGAGGCCCGGGAAAGGGGGGAGTGGCTGAGAGGGGGCCGGTAGCTGCGAGGAGGTAGAGAAGGACCCTCCTTCTCCAGGGTCCCCGCTTGTCGGAGCTGGAAGCCCAGATTGCTTAACCCTTTGCATTCCCAGCAAGAAGCGAATTTCTCACTTAAAAGTAAAACGCGCTGGGCTATTTCAGTTTTTCTCCCCACAGTGTGTGTGGTTGGGGAAAAAAGGAAGGGAAGGGGTGGGGGCGGCTGTGCAGAATGCATTTTCCTTACACATTGGGAATTCTTGTTTCCTAACTCAGGAGTCCCTCTGCTGCTCCGGAAGATGCAAAATGGAAAAGTACATCTGGGGACGTGCAGCCTTCCCCAGGCAGAGAGGTTACCTGTGTCCCCAGAAAGGCAGCGGATTTCTAGCGAGAGCCTCAGAGATGGGAAAAGAGGGCTATGTTGCTAAGCCTGACAGTGACCTGAAATATTCCCTGATCTTCAGTCTGTTGGAAATTTTTAAACTTCCAACTTTTCTATCGAAACTGGCTTCAATTTTTAAAAAACAATTATATGGATAATTTCTTCCTTCTCCCTGGCCTGTTTGAGGACCTTCATCCTTCACCAAAACGCGCCAGTGTAACGTACCTTGTTCAGCTCTTGGTCATAAAGGCGTCCTCAGCCTGTCTGTGTGGTCCCGGAGGGTCGGTGGCGGGCAGTTTCCAAAATTGAGGTAATAAGAGATCAGATGAATTTGAGACGACCGGCCAAAAAAAATAAGAAATTTAAAAACAACATTTAAAAAGGACAGGGGAGTCTTAAATGTTTGATTCTCCCCCACTTTAAAAAATAATTTCACTAATAGTCTCTTTATTTTTCCGTTGCACTTCAGTCTAATTCTTTTAAAAAAAAATTATGCTTTAAAAATAAATTAACTTTTCTTTTCTTTTTTTTTTTTGCTTCAGTCTTTCTGCCCCCGATAACAGAAAATCTCTTTTTCGCCTTACAGAAAAAAAAAAAAAAAAAAAAAAAAGACTGTGGAAGACTCAGCAGAACCCAGGAAGCGCAGAATCGGGAGAAAAGTCTTTGGCTGGGGCTGTTTCAAGTCTCTGGTTCAATGGGCTGCTCGAAGCCAGGACTGGGTAATTCTTTCCAGACGTCTTGACTTCTCCTTCCTCGCCGTTGTTGCCTTTCTGCCTCCTCCAACTTAAGGGGGTCTTAACAAGTGAGCTGGTGGGTGTTTTAATAGGGCGGCGGAGGGAGTGGGGGGGTGAGGGAAGTGGAGAGGGAGGTGTGGACTGGGGAACCCTGAGGGGAGGGAACTGGGAGCGCGGGCGGGC